CAATCCGGGTCCTCATTTCACCCACCTCGGAAGGATGGAAGGCTGAGCCAACCTTGAGCCGGTGAGATTTGAACAGCCGAACTGCTGAACTGTAGTCAGCTGAAGTAGCCTGCAGTGCTGCATTTAACCACTGCGCCACCTTGGCTCTTCGGCAGTTCGAATCCCTAGCGCCGCATAACGGAGTGAGCTGCCATTATTTATCCCAGCTTCTGCCAACCTAGCAGTTCGAAAGCATGTAGAAATGCAAGTAGAAAAATAGGCACCACCTTTGGTGAGAAGGTAACAGCGTTCTGTGCACCTTCTGCATTTAGTCATGCTGGCCACATGACCACAGAGATGTCTTCGGACAGTGCTGGCTCTTCGGCTTTGAAACAGAGATGAGCACTGCCCCCTAGAGTCGGGAATGACTAGCACATATGTGCAAGAACCTTTGAGACATCTGCTTGAGTTTGCTTAAAAGGTCAAGGTTCCCCTTGCACATATGTGCTAGTCATTTCCGACTCTAGGGGGCAGTGCTCATCTCTGTTTCAAAGCCGAAGAGCCAGCACTATCCGAAGACATCTCTGTGGTCATGTGGCCAGCATGACTAAACGCCGAAGGCGCACGGAACGCTGTTACCTTCCCACCAAAGGTGGTTCCTATTTTTCTACTTGCATTTCTACATGCTTTTGAAACTTCTTCCTCCTCAAGGAAAAAAATATAGTCCAGTTGCCTTTTGGCAAAAGCACCTTTTGAGACAACTATGACGTGGATGACTGAGAATCTCCATAGCCTGAGGCAGATGTGATAGGAACTTTGAAATGCACACCTTTAGCAATTATTCAGACTTTGAAAAAAGCTGAACAAGTATTTGTAGAACCATGCCTTACACTTATGATCCTTGCAGTATTTCCACAGTCATGTGATCGCGATTTGTAACTTTTTATGCCGGCATCCCATAAGCATAAGTCAATGAGGAAGTCAGAAAGAAATTGGAAGTCATAGTCACATGAGGTCCTCACTTAACAGCTTGTGCAGTCCTCATTTAATGACAACAACCAGAATTGCCGAAACTGCCGTTGTAAAAAGAATGAAATTTTTCAACGTACATCAAAGTTGCTTAAGGATGGAGTTTCCAGTCTCAGTTAAACCTCATTAAATGAGGAACACCTGTAGTGATTTTCTGGGCACAAGAGAATACCATGGCATGGCCTTGAAGATAAGGGCTTATTATCTTTTGACAAGGAGAAAAAGAATCGCAACTTTGAAAGCTGAACTCTTTGAATATCAACCTTGCGCTGCCCTAGCCTAAATTGCCTTACTAACTGTGTGCTAGATGCAGATTTTTATATAAATAAAGGTATCATTTTTGTCTGTAGTAAAGAAATTAACATGTATCAGTGAAAAAATCTATCAAGAAATCAGATCCTGAACAAAATTAAGGGCTTGAAGCATTTAGATGTACTATTACTAAGAGCCAAGGTGGCGCAGTGGTTAGAGTGCAGTACTGCAGCCACTTCAGCTGACTGCTAAGCTGCAGTTCGGCGGTTCAAATCTCACTGGCTCAGGGTTGACTCAGCNTGGTGGAACCTCTTCTAACCGGTTCGGTAGATTTGACGAACCGGTTCTACCGAATAGGTGCGAACTGGTAGGAACCCACCTCTGGTCCTAATACACTGCCTTGGGGGACACTATTGTTGACAGGTGCAGCTTTTGATAGAGCGCTCCCTATTTTGACTACCTGTTGCCTGTATGACGGAGCTATCCACCTGTGCAGGGAAATGCCATAAGATTTTAGTTTTAGAAGTAGTTTGTCATGTACCACTGAATCAAAGGCTTGACAGAAGTCTATGTAGATTGCGTCTATTGCTTTACCCTGGTCGAGTTGTGTAGTCCATGTGTTTTTGCAGTGTAGAAGTTGTAGATTACAGGACAATATTTTTCCTGAAACCATATTATTTGTTAGAGAGTAGGTTGTTTATCTCTAATTGGAGGGTAATGGATTGCTTTGTGATTGAGTCCATGATTTTGCAGGTGGCACAACGTAAAGAAATTGGTCTGTAATTGTCAACTAGGCTGAGGTCAGCCTTTTTGAAGATAGGGTTGATTGTGGCTAGTGATCACAGCCTAAAATGGTGAACCTTTTTTGGCTTGCATAGAGATGGAGTGCAGGGGGGGCATGCATGGGTGTGCCACACCCATAATGCAATGCATGACCCCCCACAGTGCATGTGCACATGACAGGTGCAAACCCCCCCCCCATTTTTTGCATGCTTTTTTCACCCTCCCCAGGCTCCAGAGGCTTTAGAGGAGCCTGGGGAGGGCGAAAACAGCTTCCCCCACCCCCTGGATGCCCTGAAGCGTCCAGACCGCAAAAAACTGGCCCTACGGGCAAACCGGAAATTCAAGAACAGCCTTCCAGTTTGCTTGTAGGGCCGGTTTTAGCCCTCCGGAGCCTTGAAGGGCCTTCAGGGTATGGGAATGGATGTCAGGTCTTTAAGTTTGTTATTAACAAAATTATAGAAGGTGTGGGTGGATTTTGTGCATAGAAAGTTTTCATCTTGTTTGCTGTGGTAGTTGGTGCATTCTGTCTTTAGGAACCGAGGTGGCGCAGTGGTTAGGGTGCAGTACTGCAGGCCACTTCAGCTGACTGTTATCTGCAGTTCAGAGGTTCTAATCTCACCGGCTCAAGGTTGACTCAGCCTTCCATCCTTCCGAGGTGGGTGAAATGAGG